AACATCTGAGTGGATAAAGGTGTGCTTGATATCGTACCGATGTGGAGGTTGTGCAAGCCACGGGCAGCTCCAATGAAAAGCACCAATACCAAGAAACACCACCTACAACTCCTCTAGCATTGACTGCAGCTTGATCTTTGAATTACCAGAAGAATTTCATTCATTTTTCTAACAAAAAGAGGTATCTTACCTTAAATGTTGTTAGGACAAAAGAAGCTCCTCTGTTCTTCCACAACCAGATTCTCTTTGAGATTTTTTTAACAGATCGAATTTGCTGGGAATACTTCCAAAGAGTTGGTTGTCATAAAGATACAGATGCTCTAAAGGTGAGCAGTTACCAATTTCCAGTGGGATCCCACTAGAGAGATTTGCCATGTAAACCGCAAGAGTTTTTATGTTTGTTTCCATTGTGAAAATTCAATAAAAAAAATGATGGATAAAATAGTCTTTTAATCTTTTGGTTAACGATTAGCAGTAATTGTCATTTGTCAAAAAAACTTAAGGGTATTTTAAGGCAATTTCTAAACAGTAAGGCTGAGTAAGTCAATTTCCTACAATTTGGGGGTAGTTTAAGAAATTTGCCCTAATAATTATTACTTTTAAGTGGTGAAATTTACTAGATTTTAAATTAATAATTTGTTAGAATAATATTTTTATTCATGATATATTATGTTTTACTTACAATTTTATATTAATAACCTCATCCTATTTAGATTGTTTGATTTATTAATATTTTCTTCTCTCTCTATATATAATATGTACTTAATCTTGATAGTAGTGTACCAATAGCTTTATTGACGACAATCATGACATGATGTAACTTTTAAAGCAAAAGAAAATAAGAAAAAATGGCATGTTTTGTTTTAGAGTGTGTGTGTCTATATATATAACTTGGCTCACTATAGAACTTGAGCCTAGGCGAGGTCAAACATATGAACTTTTCAATTGAATTTTTGAGCCTAGTCTCATGACTTTCTATCGAAACAAGCTTTTTGAATAGCCATGTATTCAACTCAGCTCGGCTTGAATCACCCTATAAACAACAAACAAAAACCTCACTTCGTGAAGAGTTGAATCTTGGATCCACTACCTTGATGAATTCAACCAGGTCGGGTTGGGCTGATAATCCTAGTACCATCGGCACCATTCCAAAGCATCTGTTTCTACATTAAAAGAAACAATATTAACGGAAAATCTTGGCTTGTATTCTTAATATCCCAATTCAAACAGACTCAAAATTCTATTTGGGAATCCCAATAATCAATTCAAGGGTTACAGAAAACACCTTTCAGTATGATAGGGAAAGAGTCGGTAAGAGACTTGCTGGGTGGAAAAAAAAACACTCTTTCATTAGTTGGGAGAATAACCTTGTTAAATTCAACAACCAATATAATGCTCCGGTTCATAATGAGATCTTTTAAAATTCCACACAACATTATTGAGGATATTGACAGAGCCCAAGGAAATTTCTATGGAATAACTCAAATGAAAAAAAAAAAAGCCTTTACTAAGTTGGAAAAAGGTGTGTTCTCAAAAAAATTGGGGAGGTGTTGGATTAAGGAATCTTAAATGTCAATAAAACTAGTCTTCGAAAATTGGGGTGGAAGATCTTAAATGAAGATAATCTTTAGGTCAAAGTGGTGAGGGGAAAGTATCTTAAAAGAAGTAAACTTTTGAGATGAAAAAAACAACAAAGGAATTTTGGGGGTTTGGAAGGGTATCTTAAGTGCTAGAGAGCTCTTGAAAAAAGGCTTAAGTTGGGAAGTAGGGAATGGGAAATCCATCAAATTTGGGGATGATAGATGGGTTGGTGAATCATCTATTGCGGAATGCGTAGCCCCAACCTAATGTGATAATGAAAATCTTCTTGTTAGTGATATCATAGATCATAAAAGAGGGGTCTGGTTGGAAAATAAAATTCAGAATCTGGCTCCTTTAAATATTTGGAATAAAATTAAGTCAATTTTTATTCCTAAGGGATCAAGAGAAGATCAGCTAATTTAGAGAATGAACCGGAGTGGTGTTTTCACAATGAAATTCAGAAATTGGCTTACAAATTAAAATGTGTCATTGCTTGCAATTGGGGGAACAATGTCAATTGGGGTTCGTTAGTCTGGAACCTAAAATGCCCTCCAAAGCAAAAATTTTCCTCTACCTCCTTTTTAGAAAATAAGCTCCTTTCAAAAAGCCTCCTAAGGAATAAAGGTTTGAATATTGATGCCACTTGCAGTTTCTGTGGAGATGAGGACCTAGAGCATATTTTTTTAAAATTGTGTCTCTTTGAAGCAAATTTGGAATGTGGTGGAATTTGAATCTTACCAATACAAATGGGCCTAATACCACTTTGCTTGATTGGTGGTTTGAACTTCACAAAAAGATTTTGCAGAGAATAATCACTTGAAGGAAATGTGTATGCACATCTTATGGCACATTTAATGATAAGTCATCCCCCCCTCAGAGCTACAAAGGCTTTCTAAGAATACTTGGATCTTATAGAGAAGCCGAGCACTATCAAGATTAATTTTGATGCTTCTTCTACCAAAAGTGGGAGATGTTTAGTGGCTTCCATTGCAAGAAGCCATCTTGATAAAATAGTGGACTACAAAAGGCTATTCTCTTGGCATTTCATCTATAAACGCAGCTGAAGCATGGGCAGCATGGGAAGCTCACAACTTTGGCGTCAAACTTTACAGATTGTCGATCATAATAGAAGGGGACTTAAAGCTCATCATTCATGTCTCTCAACAGTCAGGTTACCCCTCCCTAAAATCTAAGGAATATAGTGATGGATTGCTTGCAGATGAAATAGAAGCTCGATAGAGGAATTCGTTACAGGCATGTGTTTCAGAAAGCTAATCAAGCGGCTGACTGGCTAGCAAATGAGGCCCATTTCTATGATGGTGGTTTTGTTTCCCTCAGTCTTTGTAAGCTCCTTTGTTGGGATTTAGAATTTCTTTGTTTGAGTGATTTGTGGGGACGTGATACCTACGGCCTGTGTAGCACAATCTAGTTTTCTGGTTCTATTAAAAAAAAAAGCAATATTGGCCCATCCTGAGGAACGTCATGATAGTGGAAAATAGTGTCTAGCTTTGAACCACCACCCTGTAGGACTCTTGCCATAGAACCAAGGAAAATCCAACTTCATAGTTCTAGTAGGGATACCCCCATTCTGCCCAAAGTCTTGAATGGTTCCAATAGTAGAAGCTTCACGTCCAACACTCTTCCTGGTTGAGCTGTAGATCATTGGAAACTTGGAATTTGCCGTAAAATTCAAGTTGGCGCAATATCTTTTCAAGCATGTATAGTTCCATGTTGTATGGAAGATGCTTAGAGCTCCTGTTGTGAGGCTCATAAGGATTTAATATCCTTATCCATCTAAGCTGCACCAGTACCTTCTGCCATAACAGGATCGTAATGCTTTGATAGAATTGTTATGGTCAATTTCTCTCATGTAGATCTTCTTCCTACCTCAGCCATGGTTCCTTACAGAACACTCACCCCTAGAAATCAAGAAAATAAAAGATTATTTCAAGGGCAGATGACACTGATAAGAAACTTGGTTGAGTTGATTGTTTGAGTGATGTGATTATAAAACATGTCACCAGACATCTTTAACTCTCATTAGGATTCCAAGAGTCACATTCATATATCTCCACTCCGGGTGCATGAAATAAATTGTTAAGCAAAAACAATGTGAACTAATGTTTATAAAACATGTCACCAGACATCTTTAACATTTAGGTAAATTGCCGAAACCCCTTTGAAGTTTTTGACGGTTGTTAAAAATTCCTCTGAAGTTTGATAATTGCAATCATGTCCCATGAACTTTTTGACAGTTCCAGGTAAATCCCTAATCCCTTCTGAATCTTCTAAAACAGTGTCAGGTAAATCCCTTCCGAAAATGTCCAAAATAGCATGTAGTTACTTTTGACCAAAATGTTTACTTTTCAATTTTTTTTTTCATAAAAATCACTGCCTCAAGCCTTTACATTCTCTTTTCTGAAATTAATTTATTTTCTAAATTTGCTTTTCATATCAATTGCTCAAAGGTAAAACTTTAAACTCTTTTTTCTTTTTTATTCTTCATAAAGTTTGTATTATTTTTTTCTATAGGCTCAGTTTGGAAGGAGTACAAATACAAATATGTAGAGTGCAAAATTATGTATTCTGTATTATTTTGCATGTATTTGTATTGTACATGTTTATGTTTGTACTCTTTCCAAACTAAGCCATAGAAATCAACCTCAATAGTAATTGCATTGAACTTTCATGCCTCTTATTAGAGGATTTTAATAGAGGTCTACTTGCAACTGTATCAAAAAGTTCAGGGGTGGTGATTGCAAATGCCTAACTTCGGAAGAGGTTTCAACAATGTGACGTTTTTAACTTGATTGGTTCATCCCTTTAGGCTCAATTTGGAAGGAGTAAAAATGCAAATATTTAGAGCACAAAACCTTATATTTTGCATTATTTTGTATGTATTTGCACAGTACATATTTGCATTTGTACTCCTTCCAAACTGAGCTTTAGGCCTAATTTATTTGCAATGCAATTTAGTTTGCACTTGTGTAGAAGCATGGGAGTGCAAATGTGTTGAGTGCAAATTCTTATTCATTTTCATTTAAATTTAACTGTTTAGTAGTTGCAGTATAAACCAAGTAAAATCAAAATCAAAGTTATGCAAAACCCAAAGCAAAAGTGAACCAAAATTTACACTTCTGATTTGCACTGCCATGATGCCATCCATTTGTATCAACGCAAATGAAATAGAATTTCAAAAGGGACAATTGAATCATGCCATAAAAGGGACAGAGATCGAATATCTCTTCCACCTACAAGGCCACAACTGCTTTACACGAAAGAGCGAATACTGACTGCAAGTACAACCCGGATAGGACTCTTGACTCATAGATTGTAGAGTTGCCTATTAGAAAATTTAGCTGGCTGGGCTTCTTAGATTGGCATTTTGCGATTTAGGGTCAAAAGGAAATCTCAAAAACTGGAAAAGAGAAAAGTAGTTGTAATTGCTATATCACATTTTCAGCTTTTACAAAAATCAACTTAAAAGTTCATTTGAACAAATACCCAAAATTTTCTGGTTTAGAAGGAATGAAAAATACTCAAAATTAAGGGGGAAAAAAGGAAAGAAAAGAGGCAGACAACAGAAAAATAGCAAATTGATTACCCCAAGAGGAAACAGCACTAGGAGACAACTTGGCAGCCACCTCAAGCCTTGGAGTCAATTAACCTAGTTGCTCTGCCAATCGCCCTTCTGTGGTAAGAATCCAGATGGGGGTGGAGGGTCGAGGGGATCCGAGCCATCTACAAGGTGGCATTTTACAACATTTTAATACATACGGCGAACCCAAGCTGATTCCATGGGGTCGAAAGCTGTTGATCCCACCAAAGAATAGTAATCATCAAGATGTTGCTCATTTCATCGTGTAATTGGAGAATATTTGCAACAAGTTATCCACAGTTTCTGGGTAGAATTTTCTAGCAAATAAATAACATGGCCGCTGCATGCCATTCCATAAACAAGGCCTTATCTGCACCTCCTTCTGTAGAAGCACATGGGAACCGAGGACTGATTTTAGAATGTTACCAACCAGGGTAAAGGAAAATCATACAAGACAAACCGAATCCGATATTAAGAGTCTAGAAATAAAATGAATACCCTTTCATCACTTGTAACGTGCAGACTCTGATCGATAGACTGCAAATAACAATTACATCAAAGAACTATACAAATCAACCATAGACTAAATTTTAAGTATAATGAAAATATAAAGTTGATCAGAATCATACTGTGATATTCTTCAGGAGCTGGTAGGAAACATCCTTAGCCCTATAAGACTTTGGATGCCACTTTCCTTCAGACCAATCAACGTGTGTCACTGACCAATTTGCAATTCCTGCAGGATCAACCATCTGAAAATGTACATGTTTCATTTTTAGTGAATAAGAAACAATAAGCAGAGTGAACAGACCAGTAAGAAGAGATACTTGCACTGACATGGAACAAGGTTGGCAGGTAATGCTCATCTGCATAGCAATTGCGACCTTCCATACCTGGCTGTCAAATCATATTTAACTTCAGTACATTTGTTAATAGAACTAGGTGTACAGTATAGAAAACTTCCATTAATTTCTTTCTAAGCCCATTTTGACAGAAAAAGAAAAAAAAATGCGACAGTTTCACTTGTAACTTTACACCTGCAGCCAGAGGCCAGACCCAAATGGATTTACTACTATTTGATAGCACTATTGCATGTAAGTTCTTTAAAATCAATTCCATAATTTGAAAGTTGGCTTGTGGAAAGAATTTCCTGGAACACTTGCATCATAATAACTGTTGTATATCTAGTTTGATCATTTTTCACAAATTAATATACTACTTCAAGCATGGAACCAATGGGAAATAGCAAGCTAAATTTCTAGAACCACAAATACACCCGAAAATGTAAAACCAGAAAAAATATATACATTAATTGAAGTAAAAGTAATGGTTATATACAGATCACAGGAAAGGTCCCAGGATACTTGAGATCATCAAACCAAAAAGTTGGAAAACATCACTAAGAAAATCATCTTTGAGTACAAAGATACCTTACAATACAGCTTGAATTTTGTGTAGTAAAGATTATCTGCGATAACTATAATAGCATGCTGCCGCTTCATCGAGAACCACTGCAACACATGTATGAATTAGAACCTACAGTATTTGTCTAAGGTTTTTATCCCCAAAAGGAAAAAAAAAAGAATAAAGAGATGCATTTAAAATAAGTGTTATATATTTCCTCCAATGATGGTTTTTGGCTCAAAGGCCTTATGGTGGTTAAATGCTTGAACACCTTACACTGATTATATCCTGGACAAGATGTATTATTCAAATAGTAGACAAATTCAAAGCACAGAATACAAGAAAAAATAAACATAAAAAAGGAAAATGAAAAATCACTATCAACATGAACAAGAGAAAAATGATTTTGAAGTTGTTATCTACCAATTACATGAAAACAATACAAAGAAAACAAGTACTGGAAATGAAAATATCCAACATCTCTATCATGAGGAACTGGGAAAGAAACTTAACTTTTTAAGCTGATATGCTAAGAACATGCACGTATGGCATAGAAGTCCATAATCCAAGGCTAAATAAGCAACAATTCATTCATATTTCATGACAATGATTATTACTACTTATATGTGGCACATGCATGCCTGAACATCACTTGATGAGAAAATATTTCGAGACATGCTTTAACAGAAGATCTGTCATGGTGTGTAGGAACTACTTAATAGTTAATACTGTTCTCCGAAAAAAAGCACCATTTTACAGGATTTATTCTATACTTGTATGATTATAATTAATCAACCTTGATTGGGCAGATGCAATTGAATTTCTCGTTAGACCTCTCTAATCTGGAGTGGAAAGAAACTGTTTAAGTGGTGATTGCATGAGTACAAAATGAGCAGTTAAGGATGAGGATATTTTGCTACCTATAAAGTGATCTTAAAACAGTAAAATGAGCAGATTGTTCAGATGGTTTCAAAGATCAATTATCAAGTTACAAAATCTCAAGCCAGAGATGTAATGATTCAGGATTGTTGACTTTTGCATTAGGGTCTCCCCCCCCCCCCCTCCTGTAGGTTTGTAGGGCATTTGTATGTGATTTTGGTTGGCTGCACCATGTGACTAAGATGCTCTCCCTTGAAGGAGTTCTACACAATTACTTTAGTTTTAAAATAAAATCTAGTAAGTTACCAATTTAAAAACAGGCTGGGTGCTGAATAGTGGTACTGGAAAAGGCCCTTGGGTACCTCATAACTCAACTATGGAGGATTGGAGGTTAGATCTCCAACAAATAGGATGAACACCTCATTCAAATGAATTAGAAGACCTGCAAAAGACCTAGTGGATTCATTGGCAAGGGCAGAAGTAAATTGGGCCGAGTTGTACTGGTGGCTTACCCTTCTTGGGTAGTTTGTTTATGTGAGAAACTGAGGGTGGCTATGCCAGATGGTTCATCCTTTTTCATTGATGATGGTTCAGTTTCTTATTCCTTCAATGGTATATATTGCACACAGTTTTACCTATATTGTTTTATCTAACAAAGCCTGTTGACCTGTTAATGGTCAAAAAGTTAGAAACACAGGATGAAACATGCAAGTTTGCCATGAAACTGTTGTCCTTTTAGCCATAATGTTGATTTTGATCAGAATATTTAACTCATCTGAACAAAGCCTTTAAAATTATGTAATATATTTTTTTTACAAGTAAAATGATTGTATATTAAGGCTCAGTTTGGAAGGAGTACAAATGCAAATATGTACAGTGCAAAACCTTGTATTTTGTATTATTTTGTATATATTTGCACTGTACATATTTATATTTGTACTCCTTCCAAACTGAGCCTAAAGATCAAAAATAGTAAACAATACAGGCATCCCACAGAGAGGGACAAAATGCTACCTCTCACTCAAAGATCAGAATACAAAAATCATTTACAACTGAGCTCAATACAAGTTGTCCCTGTTTACCTCTTGTTTAGCTAAAAACCCATCTGCTACATTGAATTTTCTTTTTCCATTTCACTCAAGCAAGGGTCATATCCATTGTTGAATCACTTCTGGACCATCTAACTTGCAACAAATCACTTCTACAATCACAAGCATCTTCTCTAACCAAGAAGAAAAGATTCTCAGGAAAAGCAACTATGGACACTTGATTACACCATTACAATTTTTTTTCTATAATCGGCCTCTAGTGAAATTGAAGGAATATCATTGAAAAAATGAAATCATATCTTCAATCTCTGCCAGAAATAAATTAAAAAAAAAAAACTTTCTACAGCACTTCAAATTCATTACCTTTTGTCTGGTGCTTCAAAAGTCTCCTCTTGACACCTTCAAGCTCATGGAGGAGAACGATGTTGGCTGACAACCCATGCAATTCTCATGAGAAATTTATCAAGGTGGCAAACCCAAATCCAGTCCTTGAACCAACCAGATCCTTACTACAGGTTGGATAATCCCAATTCAATCTTAATTCAGGCTGGGGAAAATCTAAAGACCAAGTCCTAACCTGAAACTGACTTGACTCAACTTTTCTATTTCATGTTCTTTATTTGAAAAAAAAAAAGAAGAAAGAACAATTAGCCCACTAGATCTTCCCATTTTTCTAGGTTTGTGTTAGCTAGCCTCAACTTGATTTAAATTTGTTTTATGATCAGTAATTCTTAGAATTGCTTGACCATAGCCAATTCATGACCATTATTAATCCTTGTTTTTTTATCAATAAAAGGAGATTTTATTAAAATCACGTTGTAGTATGTATTACAATAACGGTGGAGATTTCCCCATCCCACAGACTGACATATAATTTATAATGTTGCCCAAAAGATTTGGTGCCTAGCTGTCCCCTGTTAAGCCAGACCATCTTCCATTCCATTTGCTGTTCTCCTTACCCATTTAAAGACAACATTCAGCTCCCTTTTTATGCTTTCTATTTCCCAAAAAGTATGTCTATAGATCCATGGGACTTGAGAGTTGCATTTTGTCCAAGAAATGACCACCTGCGAGTCCCCTTCTACCTCCAAGTTGTGGAAACCAAATTGCTTAGCAAATTTTAAACCATGGATGGTCCATGCAGCAAAGCTGTCAATGCATTACCATCTGCTAAGGGTCCTGAAAACAAAGCTAACACCTTTCCTTCTGTGTCTAGGAAGACTCCACCCAATCTAGCTGCAGCTTGATTGCCAAGATAGCTTCCATCAAAGTTGAGTTTAACAAAGTTGGTTACTGGGGACGTCCAATCCATAGTTACTCTTTCCTTGACTTGAGTTGAGACAATAGTGCCACTTCCTTCCATGTTCTCAAAATTTCATTTATTGAGAAAATTTGGAAATCCTCCAAGGTCTTCACCCAATGTACAACTTTAATTTTAATTGTGTCAATGACCATTTCCAATCCTTGTTATCGTGCATAACTGGTGTCAATGAATTGACTGTGGTTAGTCAATTCTAGGAACTGCTGATCCCCAAACAAAACTACCCTATTTTGGTGCATAGAACAAGGTAAATAGTTAATCCTTTATATCATAATCTAATCTGAATATGATTAACGGCTCACAATCAATTAATCTGATGTCAACTCTGACATGGGGGTCCAATTTATTTCATACCCCATATACATTCTGGAGCAGCAACAAGGAATCCATTATCCCTATGTGATGTATAGCATACTTAGATATTCATTACAGAAAAAATATGCATATAAAATGTTAGGAATCATCTTCAAAAATAAGGCTTAAGCTCTATGACAAGCACACAAGGATACATGCAAGGCATATACCTGTGCACCCTTTCTAAAAGCCTTCTTTTCAACTTCAGGCAGCATAAGCTCTGAATATCTTCCAGAACCATGTGGACCAGGATCCTCAAAACTGGAAAAGAAAATTAAGAGTTCATTAACAAAAAGAATTGATTCCTTAATAAGAGGAAGAGAAACAGAACTTTACTTTCAGTTCTAAATGGTTATTCATCATTTTTTCAAGGTTAAGTATTTCCTCTACATAAATCACATATGAAGACAATCACAGCAACACAATGGTATATCCAATGTCCAATCAAGGATAGTTTAATACTTTTATCTTGTCAAAACAAATTTTAACTGACCAGCAATAATCAGAAGAGTTAATCATGAAATAAAACTAAACATGTATACCACCAAGTAAGTGCAGAAGTCTTACCAATCTATAAAACTGATATTTGTATCCAGCAGATAGTTATAAACATAATCAAAAGTATGCAATGGTACACAACTGCAACCCAAGAGAACAAGTACTCAGAAAGTGATGATAGAAGCTTCAGGCACAATTCAGAGAACATAAAGATACAAAAAGCAATTCTACAACCCAAGCACCTGTCCGAAAGCAAGACAAAATGTTGGTTATCAGGATCTCTGAGTGCATTTGCCAAAAGTCTCCGCTCAGCATCAACCATAGAGATTTTGCCCCAGACCACCTGCATATGTTTTGCTCATATCACCAACAAGTCCCTAGTCTTAAAAGTATGCTTCTAACCTCTCATATGATCCATAAATAATATGCTTCATTTCCAATACCAAAGCAATAACAAGAACCAAAGAGATGAATATAGCTTCTTATATGAAAAGCATTCACCATCTATTTTAGAGCTTTTTACTCATGATCAGTAATCAAAAGTTTAGTCAAGTATAGTTATGTGTGTGGAGATGTAAAAATTGCCTAAAGCCAAAAGAAGCTCCACTATATACCCCTCTCTACACCCAACACATGCAAACACCTAAAAAAAAATCTCCACATTTCAATTCCTTGCACTCATTGAGAAGAAGAGCCCAAACTATTGAAAAAAATAAAGAAAACTACCAAAATCCGGACAAAAACACCCTCAAGGTCTTTTCAAGGCCCACAAATTCTCCAATTGCATTCCTTCTGCACATCCCAACAAATTGCAGAAGAAACCATGGTGCATAAAATATCATTTCTACTACCTACAGAAACTGAGGACTAAAAGAAGGTAGTCAAGATGATGCTTATCTCCTTTCTTATCAATTCACTCACTGGTAATGTGATTTACCCATCCAGAAATGGCAATGTTCACTTTTTCGTCACCAAATTATTAATCACAACTGATAACACTTAAACAGTATAAGTAAAACTGGCATAAGATTGGAACCCTTTCTGTATGCACATGTGGATACTTGTATGAAAGATTTGCATTTCATGCCTTCTAGAAAACTTTAGAAGACATGAACCTACGATTAAATGGATTTCCCTAATTCAAAAGGTAATTAAAATGGAAATGACACTACAAATACCCTTCTTGGAAATTAGATGTAGATCTGTTAAGAAAAACATACTGAGAAATACAGAACAAGCTTCAATTATCCAAAAAAAAAAAGAATATACAGAACTCAGCTTAAATGAACCTCTTGATAAGTGTCATTTAAATTGAAGCATGCTTGGTTATCCATCAAAGAGGGTGACATAACATCAGCTGCACCATTTGCCTTAACATGGAGTGAGTACTTAGGTTTTATAGGACAGTACAAAGGCTCACCAAGGATACACCTAGTTGCCTGTCTAAAGATGGTGCATTCTGCTTACTCATTGCAGACCAGGCAAGCTGATTTCAGTGAGGCTCTTGATTTTTGCATGAAATTGTGAAGGCACAAAGCATCCCCAGGAAAGTGCCTTACTAAAGAAGATCGTGAAAGAGAGGTGGAACCCAAGGATCCAGATATCTTTCTTCTTTAGTTCATCCCCCCAGAGTCACCCAAGGATCCATATACCTTTCTTCTTTAGTTCTTCATCCCCCCACTGAGTAGCCACTGTGAACTTCTCTGTTTGCTAAAGAATGACACAATAACAGCCACCAGGTGGAATAAAAATATTTGTATGGTTAGGCACTCATGCTTTGTGCCCACCACCTCAGGCTCTGGGAAGCCCCTGCACATTGATGTCATCTTGCAATTCAACTATCTTAGATTTTATTCAACTACCTTACATTTCAAAATAAATAAATAAATAAATAAAACTCTATTCAGGGACCTCACCTAACAGCTTAATCTTGTAGGTTGAACAGTTCCTCGAGATAGTATCAGAGCTTGTTTGACCAAGTGCTCTAGTGTTCAATCCTCATCACTCCCATAATAATTAATTTAATTTCAGCACAAGGTATGGGAGAGCCTGTGTTTGTCCACACTTCAAGCCCGATGAACCTTCTTTTCTTAGTTCCATTCGGTTTGATGTGGGTTGTGGGAATAAAATTCTTTCTTGGGAGGACCTCTGGGCTGGTGATATGCTCCTTTGCCAACAATTTCCAATACTTTACACCCTTTCAGACCATTCAAACCTGTTCCCAAATTTGGTGCAACCTCCCAAAATGTGATTAACTGGGAATTTTGGGTTCAGGAAAGGCTTAAGGGCATTGAACGTGAGTCACCTATCTCTTCGCTTTCTTCTTTGGATACTGTGTTCTTGGACCAAAATTCACCTGATGTTAGGGAATAGACCCCCTCCCTTAATGGCTTGTTCTCTTGTGCTTCCTTCTTTAACCTCTTAGTTAACTCCACCTCTGGGGGGATGGCCTTCCCAGTGAAAGAAATCTGGTAATAAACCCATTCCACCTAAAATTCAAGCTCTGTTCTGGGAAGTATTCATTGGCAAGGTTAACACCTGTGACATGCCACAGAAAATGAGGCCCAATTCTTGCCATTCTCCTCATATGTGTGTCCTTTATAAGGCTTGTGGAGAATCCATTACTCATTTATTAATCTCCATTCTCCTTTCCTCTTGTGTTCTGTATTTGGGAATATTTTTGCTCTCTATTTGGTTGCCGATGGTTCCCCCCACAATAAGTGGTAAGTTTATTCAACCCCAATTTCCCAAGGCTCAAGGAAAAGAGAGGGAAGATCATGTGGTGGACGGTAAGAGCTGCCGTGATGTGGACAATATGGGAAGAAAGAAATAATAGAATCTTCAATGAAAAGGGCAGATCAGAGGAGGAATTGCTAGAAGCTATCCTAATTAGAGCTGCACGTTGGGTAAAAACCTTGGAGACTCTCAGAATCTTTTCAGTCAATGATATTATCAAATCCTGGCCTGAAGTTGCACAAACTAGAAGCCACTCTGAAGAGGTAAGACAGGACTGGAAGCCACAGGCTGAAAGTAAACTAAAACTAAACTTCAACAGTAGCTCTATGAGTAACCTGGGAAGAGCTGGTATTGGGGAGTGATTAGAGACCATCAAGGTTTGGACTTTGGTGGTTGTGAAGTATTCAAGTCCAGCAGGTTTAGGAGATTCAATTAAAGCAGAAACCATGGCACTTCTACAAGGATAGAGGTTAGCACAACAGCATGTCCTTAGAGATTTGGAAGTTGAAGGTGATTTACAACTAGTAATTCATTGGGAAAAGCACCTCAAAGGACCTTGGAAATCCAGGCATACGTTTACTCATTTAGGGAGATTAATGTGATTGCAAAGAAATTAAATACAAGCTTCAGCTGGGTGAGAAGAACTGCAAATGGGATAGCAGATGCATTAGCTAAACAGGGATTAAATAGGCAAAGTATTTTCTGGGCATACTTGTAATCGGTGTTACTGGTGGGTATTGGGATCTGCCAACAGCTGTATTAAGTTTAAATCTTTAATTTTTAATGAAATAGTAGTCGATCAAGACTACAGTCAGTCTTAGATTCCAAAGGATTTCGGATTGAGAAAAGTAGAAGGAAAGAAGGAGAAGAAGAAGAAGAAAGCAGAAGTACACAAGGGTTTTGAAAAGGAGGGACAAATCGAATCAATCTGCCGCCGCATTGTAGGAAAGGGCAGAATTGCCCTTAATGCTTACATGGCAAATAAAACAATAATAAACTGAAATAACAAGCTGTCTAAAATAACTACCAACTAACAC